TTCGGGAGGGCTCAATGGTCTGAATTCCCTGATTTCGGAACATGTAACGCAGACTACTGTTTCTGACCGCTGAGGGCCCTAACTATTTCAAAAACTACAAAGCCCTTCAATAATTCCCCAGAGATTGGTCATCAACTAATAGCGACTTCTACATAACTCGACTCCCAGAAAAACTGCAATGTTTGGCAGCTATAGAAATAAAGAAGTTTCGCAAGAAAAGTCTAAAGCTGAGAATATTACGTCAAACTCTTGTCTTGTCCCCGAGTATAAATAAAATCGGCGGGCAGTTGGCCAAGTTCTTGCAGAAGACTGGCAAGGGATGCGTTGCCGCTTGTGATTACAAGCGTTCTAGTTGAATCGGTTTTATTTTACTCATGGATTGTTATATGCATACACATTTAAGAATTTATTAGCGTGGTAATGAGCTATAGTACATACACTTGACGCTGTCAGTGACTGTATACCAAGGTTACTCAAACAAGTTTATATTCGACAGTTCTTTATTAAAAAAAAAGCTGCCCACTTAACGTATATTTAAAATAGCTATTTTGTCCGGCTACACTATGCAGTTATGTATAGCTGTATAGAGATGCTACCAACTAAAGGTATATTTTAAAATATATATATATGCACACACACACATATAAAAAAATATACACACACATGCATATATATAAATAGCAGGGGCTATCTACCAGAGTTATAGTGAAAATAGCTGCCTAGTGGGGCTTTGGGCATTTACAGTAGAGAGAGAGGCTATCAATCAATTAAATTTATATCCGAAATAGCTGTATAGAAAAGCTAAGCACTCAAACAACTGCACTATACGTAAATGTGTGAACAATTACCAACTCAAGTTGTATGATAAATTGTTCTACAGTAAGTCTGTCCACTGAAATTATACCATACATTTTCTACGATGAACCTATGGAAAAAGCAAGCCTGGTTTTCTATTTAATTATCATCACTGCATTGAAAGGTAGGAAATTCGCTGTTTGATCTGGGTAACGTTTGTTGTCGTTAGTCTGTTAGTTAAAGATCTTTTTGCCTGGCAAGTACGCATCGGGTACCTGCCGACCAACTTTAGTTAGTTAGTGAGTCAATTAATCGCCAGATTATTCTCATTGCACATTGGACAATCACATGAGCGCTTCAGTATATCCCTCAGCGTGTAGCGATTGATAACATCAGTTCTGTGTTGGTTAACTATTCTTTTTTAGCTACCTGTATAGTGTTCATGTTTAGCGACACCCCATTTCACCTGAAGCCATTGTCTTTTGAGTGTTGCCGATTCAACGTTGTCTCCTGAATCATCTTCTCGTCCTGATTCCTTAACTGAAAATGTTGGCCTGGTCCATTGCTTTTCCTGTACCTACTGTCGCCATGCCAGCAAGCCAGTCTTCTCGTTTATTTCCCCTTACTGCAGAGTTTCCTGGCAGCAAAAAGACAGCGACTAACAAAAAAAAAAAAAAAAAATTTTTTTCGAATCCAGCTTGTCTCTGTGTTCTTAAGCATGCTCATGGAATCACTTAGAAAGCACCCATAGGAAAAATGTAGTGTCTTCAGCCATATCATTGCCTTTGTTACCGCCAACACCTCAAAAGTGCCGAACAACTTTACTTCCCATGACTTTAAGAGATTTTAACGCTAGGTCGACATGGAAGACAATATGGTATTGTAAAAGCATACACACACAAAAAAAAAAAACCCTGCTCCGCGCGGATTTGAACCCAGTACTTTATGATCTGCAAGCGTAGACTAGCAGTACACCACATCGTTCCTTGTCCGTATTTCACTGGGACAAAAAAAAAGAAACGAGGAAACGCAACAATCTATGTTGTAAGAGGTGACTAAGGATGGTCGGTGTAGCCTGCTACTTTATCAGGTAGAAAAGTATGGTCGCTCTGAGGTTTAAGGTTTTGAACAACGGATCAACATCACGGCACACCTGTGGTAACCCATGAGTTCTCCGTTCTTTTTCTAACTCAAGTCTGAGTCCCTAGAAGCTCAGCATAGTGCACAGCTTTAGTAGCACCGGCGAGGATCCTGAAATACTTTGGATAGATTTTAAACTCCAGATTTAGCCCGGGCTACTCGTTCCGTTGGGCTACTCTTTTCGTTTTTCAACTGCCAAGGGATTTTTTACGTGCGCAACAATGCACACGGGTGTCTGATCTCACTACTCAGAGACCAGAGGAAACTCTAGAAGTCCAAATCCATGTGAAAAAATTCCAGCACTTACCAGGGATTGAACCCGGAACCTCTAGCACTCGAGGCGGACCCATGCCTCGAGACCACTTGTGAAATTACACAAACAATCGATTGCGTCCCCTAGGCTCGGCTCTCTTCTCGTTTGTTCACCGGCTGTAAGCTCGAGCGGAAAGTTCGCTTATTTGGATTCTGGCTTTGTGTCATGGCCAGAGTTTTGCGTATACATCAGTTTTACTGACTTATTTGTGTGCAGTTGGTAGTTCCTTGCTGCTCGGGTAGATGTACTCTGTCTTTGAAGGAAGTTCCCAGTTAGTTGACACCTACGACATGCTTGTTGGGAAAACAGTGGGTTTGCTCTTGTCCCCCCACACCCCTCCTACAATGGGCCCCCAGAACCCACACGGGGAGGATTGACATTTGAAGTTTTGGCTATCTCCTAGTGTTGCCGTTTCAAGTATTGCCAATTTTTAAAATATCAGATTGCACGTTTTTCACGAATGCGTCACTCTCGGTTGTGCAGTAGTTGCTTCCCTTGAATTGTTAGATAAAAATAAATTTTTCTTGTTTGCCGTAAAGGCTATTAAAATAATTCCTTAACACGTCGCTGCACATGTGAACTGATAGCCAAACAATCTCCACTCATGTGTCAATTACTGTTTGGTCTATTTAGGGGTATACAAATTCTAAGTCAAATAAAGATCAAAGGAAATTTGCCTCTTTAAGAAAACAGCAGCTGCTGTGTAATTGTAAATTACAAAATCACAAGGGTATGGGAAATCCAAGGTAACATGCACAAATTCGTGTTGATCCGTACAGTTTTCGAGATACCTGTTCAAGTGTGAGAGCACAGCATGATTGATTGATTAACGTTCAACGCCAGCAGGACTTCAAACCGAGCGATGAATTCCAGGTGACGCAATGTGCCACCAATCGGATGAAGATCACCCGGGGACATGTCCCCAAAACCCTGTTCAACCAATAGGTTTGGCTATGCTAGGGTCCCGTCAACAGCCGGAGTGGGGCTTTAAAGTAACGAAAAATTGCGTCACACAGGGGGACGGGTTACTACTAAAGATACGACTTTTGAAACGTACTTCAGAAGTCTTGACCAATGTCAACGCCAGTGGAACACCAGTGCAGATGGTGTTGCACCTCTGCATTCCAATCAGTTTTTTAACCCATTTAATATCTGTAAAATTAGTTAAGGTTATTTGCGCGTTAACCTATTCTTGTTCTTCTGTTCTAGACAAGTCGGTATCTGCTTGGAAATGTCAGTGGCCAATAGATGACTGCCAAACCGAGAAGATGGACATCGTCTTCGTGCCCGATGCTTCAGTTGGGGGTAATGTGTTCAACAGACAAATGAAATGTTTTCAAATCTCATTGACGTCTTTTCGCCACACAGGGAATTGACTTTAGGCAGGTTTAGAGTCAGTGTAATAATTCCCAGTATTAATACAACCACGAACATGATCGTTCTTGATACAAAAATCACTTTTAAGAGGTACACAAATAAGACGCAGCTACAGAAAACTCTAAGCAGCATGTATTGTAGTCAAATAATTAAACCGAATATTCCAGAAACGGCACAGTCAATCGTCCAAATAGTCTTTGGCAATTCCACATCTGATTCTCGCCCTGACGCACGCCATGCCATTATTATGATGACGCAAGGAATGCATGTTCCCGATTCTTTTCAACGCGATTTGAAAAGGGCATATGTTGCAGCTAGTGAAATGAATGTTTTGATTTTCTTTGTGATCTTAGGAGCAGAAGCTACAACAAAAACGGACGTCAGTCTTTCCTTTGCAACTAATTTGCTAGCAGAGAATATGGACTATGCGAGCCAAATGCATCATATCCCAATGCGTCTGTGTAAACGTTGCTTCTCTGGGTGGTTTCATGCTGTTGAAGAGGTATCAAAAGAATCAGTAATCTTTTCGTGTTATAAATTATCGTATCATCAAAATGAGCTGAACTGGATCGACGCAAACGAGATGTGCAAAAAGGATTTATCCGAGCTTGCGTCGTTTGAGAATGGCATAGAATACGAAATGGTCAGAAGCGTGTTGCCTTGGGAGATTAACACTGCTATTCTCGCAGCGAACTCCACAAAAAACCCAGTGTCCGTTCATATCGGCTTGAGAAGACGACTGTCCGGTCTTGGGCAGCGTTTTCGTTGGGTTAATCAAAGACCGCTGGTGTACTCAAAGTGGCTTCACACGCAACCACAGGGAGGGAGCACCATAGCCTGCGCTGTATGGGAATTTCCTGTTAAGGATATTGCGGCAGCTTCGTTGGTTGTTGCCTCAGGGAACCAGTCCATGAAACAAATACCATTCTACGGTGAAATGTTGGACGGGTGGTCTAGTGTAGGCTGCGGGAATGCTAAATCGCCATTATACTTATGCGAAGCCAGAAATTACTTCACGGGCAAGCGATTTAAAGAGACAGAATACTTCCATGACGGGCCTGTTAAATACTTAAGTGAGCCGAACGCATCCAGTGTTGCGTTAGCCATTAAGAGGGCGGAACTGGGGTTTTATTCCTATCCTACAACTCACTATTTTTCTGTGTCATTCCTCGCACTTATCAGAGAAGCAGTTTTTATGACCAAGGCTTTTGTCAACAACGACCCAAACAAATTTATCCCCATTCACAAAATACAAATGTTTTTTTGCGATAACTTCACCCAGATCCCATTTTCCATGGTGTGCGATCACGTGGTCAACTGCACCAACGAAGCTGACGAACTCTTATGCGGGTACACCTTCAAAACATGCGATCCCATGAGACAGTTCACCTGCAATAATAAACAATGTATACCCATTGAATCCAAGTGTGATTTGTATAACGACTGCTTGGATGGATCTGACGAAGAAGACTGCATCATCTGCCCTCACAGTCGATGCCAGAATGCGAGATGTCTACCCAAGCACTGGTTCGGAGATGGTGAGATTGACTGCAACTCCTGCTCTCACGATGGAAGCCTCGTGGATGAAGCCAAATCTGCCCTCGATCCCGACATCCACCAATGTCTTTTCATTTGTAACAGAACCGAATGCGTGCATGAATCCATGCTGCAAGATGATGTCACTCAATGCCAAGGCCCGGAAGGTGAGCTGGACGTAATGATTGGAGCTCTGGAATCGACAACCTGTTACTCCGAAGCAGATAATGTGAGCCTGCCGTACGCTAACTGGGGACCGAAATGTGTCTACATCAAAGACCGGTACGGAGAACCTCTAGGTTGTAGGAATATGAGACACTTACAAAACTGTAGCGACTTTGTTTGTCCTGAAGGGTATTACAAGTGCCCCAAGTCGTATTGTATTCCAGTCCATTACTTAAAGAATGCTGAATTTGACTGCCTCGATGGGGAAGATGAAGACGATTTTGCCCTGGTGTGTCCTAAACATTATCGATGTGCAACTATCAATAACTGCCTTCACCCTGATCATGTATGTGACAAGCAGGTTGATTGTCCTAAAGGAGATGACGAGACCTCATGCAATGTACCTTGTAGAGAAGGCTTCCTTTGCCTTGCCGGAACAGTCACAGTCAGCAGTTACAATAGAAGCATACCCCTCACTGATCTGGATTTTGTGTCCCCCCACACGCGATATCTGGATTTGTCTGGTATTAATGTGTCCGCTGTGTTTCCTTCTTTCCCCAGAGACCGAATCACAAATGTCGTTAATCTGACATTGTCTGGATGTAGCATCGACAGCGTGGAAGCCAAAAATTACGAATACAACGATGTTCGTGGCATCTGGTGGTTGGATCTCAGCTACAACCTCATCACAGAGGTACCGAGTTCTAGCATACTCAAATCGATGTATGCCTTGCAGTTTTTGAATCTTAGTCACAATGAACAACTAGCAAGAGTTGGCAATGATGCGTTCATCCCGTACAGATCTGTGTCCTCCTTTCTAAAAGTGCTTGACTTGTCCTATACCGCTGTGCGTTCCCTGCGCTCATCTCTTGTCAACTTGAACAGATTAGAAAAACTAATACTTCGCAACACTGGTATTACTGGCATTCCGTACAACATGTTCCCAAGACATTTAACCTTGCAGGTTCTGGACCTGCGTGGGTTGACTTTCAATGACTTATACCCAGACATGTTCAAGAATGTAACAATCCTGTCTCAACTACTGACAGACTCCTTCAAGTTATGCTGTCCGCAGATCCACAGCAAAGACACCGATCTCAAAGTGTGTGTGTCTGATAAAGACCCCTTTTCTTCCTGCTCTGACCTCATGAGCGTTATGATCCTGAAAATACTGCTATGGGTTAGTGGCGTACTTGCAGTTGTTGGCAACATTATCGTCATATTTTATCGACTGTCCTTCGACAAGATGATCTTCAAAATGGCCTACGGACACTTCATCATGCATCTGAGCTTCGCCGATTTGTTCATGGGTAGTTACCTCGTCATTATAGCAGCAGCCGATACTTACTACAGAGACTCCTACGTGTGGGACGAATACGACTGGAGAAACAGCGACGTCTGTAAGGTTGCTGGTTTTCTGTCCACCCTATCGAGCGAAACGTCTACCTTTTTCATATTCCTTATCACACTCGATAGATTCTTTGCCATGAGATTTCCGTTTAGGCAGCTGAAGGCTTCTATGAAATTGATTGCACTGATCTGTACGATCACTTGGGCTCTGGGGATCTTGATTGCAGCCATTCCTCTCCTGCCGTATTTTCAGCACTGGAATCTCTACAGCACTAACGGCATGTGTCTGGCGCTCCCTCTAACAAACAGGCGTCATCCCGGATGGCAGTTTTCAACGGCTGTCTTTATATTCCTCAACTTTTTTCTGTTTATACTGATCGCCTTTGGCCAGTTAGCCATCTACAGGTCGGTATTTTCTATGAGAATTAACCAGAGCAAACTGAACAACGCTAGCTACAGACGCTCTCAAGATCTGGCCATTGCCAAGAACCTGTTTCTGGTGGTCATCACTGACTTCATGTGTTGGTTTCCCATCGGCGTTATGGGGCTGTTCTCACTAAGTGGACATGAAATTGGTCATGATGCATACGCTTGGTCAGCTGTCCTTGTGCTACCCATTAATTCGGCCATCAATCCTCTTCTCTACACGATCCCGTCTGTGACTCGCAAACTAAGGCAATATAAAGAAGGCGTGACCAGTCATCGCTCGAAGTCACAGTAACTGTTCCCCGTATGGATTCCGGAGGGAACATAAATAAACCCACTGATTCCCCAACAAACACTGGTAAAAACAGCTCTCCCCTGGACAGCAGATGGGAAAAGGAGACATGGACGACCTAAGGAAACCTGGAGAAAGAAAACGGGAAATGAAGGAATGTAAACTGACATGGAATACCACGGGCAAAAAGCAGCAGACCGGCAGCAATGGAGATCACTTGTGAATGCCTTATGTGTCAACAGTGACATGGAGAGGATATAGATTCCCCAAAAAACATGTTGTAAAGTGGACTAATTGGTGGCTTCATTCAAAGTCCGAGTGCATCTGCCTGAGAAGCAAGGAACTAACAGTCTGCATACAAAAAAAACAAGATCTGTAAAACGAATGCACATGCAAAACTCAGGTCCTGGAACAGAGCCAAAATCCAGAAATTGACGAACCACTTGGTCTTTCTGTCGGAGTTTACAACCGGTGAACGCAAACAACGTAACTCGTCGAAGAGTCACTGTCAGGCCAGTATTGCTGTATGGAGCTGAATCGTGGAGAATGACTAGAATAATTCTTAACAAAATACAAACCCTCATTTCTCGGTGCCTGTACAGAATATAGGTCACTGAATTATATGACAGAATTACTAGAAAGGATGTTTTGAGATAGGATTCCCTCACCCCTCACCCCTTCGTCCCTCAAAAGACATCGGTATTGGCTGGGTAGAACATGATATACAACAATGAGAAGTAGTCAAGCACAGTTCTTTGGTTTTATGATGAGAAAAGGAGCACTGGAAAATATCGTGATGATCGGAAAGAGAGCCGCAGCACTAAGGACCCAAAACGTTTCATCATTGAATACTTCAACTTCTTCTTCTTCGGTTTCACCGGCTCCAACCCCGGCGGAAAGCTCTGGTTCTTCTTCCACTTCTGGACTCTAGCCCTGTTCCGGAAACTGAGTGTTGCGTGCATATCCGTTTCATATGTATGAGTCATTTGCATGCAGACCGTTGGTTCCTTACCTCTCAGGCAGATATACTTAGACTTCGAAGGAAGCTCACATCATTTAGTCGACTCTTACGACATACATTTGGGGCAGGCTGTGACTATTCTTGCATTCCCCCCACCCCACCCCCCCCCCCCCCCCCCCCCCCACAATGGGGTCCTAAAACCCACATGGGATATTACTAAATGCAGATTAGGCGTTAACCGTCGTGTTACATCTGTAGCTCTTTTGGGAAAGAGATAGAATCAGCCATGGATCTGTCCAGAATGTGGTGATTATAATCCTTACTAAAGACTGACTGCAAATAGTTTTATCAAACTGTTTTATGTAACAAAATCTTCTTTTTCTTCTTTTTTTCTTCTTCTTCTTTCTTCTTCTTCTTCTTCTTTTTCTTCTTCTTCTTTTTCTTCTTCTTCTTCTTCTTCTTCTTCTTCTTCTTCTTCTTCTTCTTCTTCTTCTTCTTCTTCTTCTTCTTCTTCTTCTTTTTCTTCTTTTTCTTCTTCTTCTTCTTCTTTAATCCTTCTATAAAGTAACTTGTATCAGGAAGCCGGTGACCTTTATGAAAGCTATCGTGCAGTCCATACCCTCTCGTGTATCATACAGCTTTGTCTTCACTGCTGTTGGAACAGGCCATATTGCGTCTCTGTTGTCAGCACACAGTTGACAATGTTGGAGCACATGCTCAGCATTTTCTGGTGCCACGCTGCAGTGACACGTCTCCGTGTTTCTGACACAGAAAAGTTTGACGCATATGTTGACGAAGTCTGTTGTGCCCTATCCCTAGTCTGAATATAAAACATTGTCTCTCTCTAGGTATGTGATCAAGTGAGTCTTGGGGAAAGAATTTGGAAATCTATAAACGTTGTAATTTAGAATGTATAGTGGTTGTTGTATTGCATTGTTGTCTATGCTAATCGCTCAAACCCAGGTAGATCCCTCCTAAAATATGTACCAGAAAAGGACATGAGTGAGGGGGTCATCGAAGAAGAGGAGGGCAAAGAAAAACAGGAACGACAACATCAAGAAATGGACAGGACTAAGTTATCATAAACAAAATATTGGAAAATAACTGAAGAAATAAATGAATAGTGCCCCCCTTGACTTTTCCATCTCCCCTCTCGTGTTTTATCTTTGCTTTTCTGTCCCTCTAACATTTTTATGTGTTGCATTTTGTTTCTACAGCATCACACCTAAAAACACTATACTCGCAATGCATACCAAGATGGGAAAAAAAGGGTAACAACTCCCACTAAAAAAAAAAGTTGTCATACACCTATTCATCAAACAGAAGACAGAGAAAGATAGTTTTATGTGCTAGTACTTTCATCAACACACCTCCACGACCCTAATGGTTCGAGGGTTATGTCAAAAAAATTTGTCAGGCTCCAGAGGGAGTCGAACCCTCGACCTTCTGCTTACTAGGCGGACGCTTTAACCCACTGAGCTTTGGAGCCACATATAAGCACCCGCTTGTATGATAATCTCATTTACTAGCAGCTTAAACATGATAAAAAAATTTCCTATTACCTGGCGTAACTTATAAGAGTATATATATATTAGGGCTGTACCAAATATTCGCTATGTATTCGCTTCGGGGCCGAATAGTGGACCTAATAACTATTCGGTATTCGCCCGAATACTTGCAGTCGGGCCGAATACGAATAGTAGTTACCTTACACACGTTTCTGTATACACTACGATGGACTGAAATAACTCTCTCATTAACACAATAGTTGCTGTTGCCCACGGTCGACTCTTTTTTTATAGGCCAACTAGGTCATCGGGGATTCCCGTTCTTGTGAAATTAAGGAGTCCCTCTGTGTTCAGTTTTTATCGAGGAGATGTATATACAAATTAAACTACAGTTTCAATAAATTGCGACATATTTTATAAAATTATAGGTCATTTTAAAGGTAAATAAGTGTGCTATTAAAATATAACAATAAAGGCTCTTACAGACAAACCAAAATGCTTTTGCTACCGTCAACATGAACATAAACATCAATAACGTGTGGATATAAACTAGACGTTATTTCAGCAAAAGTAAAGAAATATTAGTGCAAACTTTGATTCTGAGAGGGTATTGCATTCGAGGACCGGGGGGGGGGGGGGGGGAAAGGGGGGTGACATCTTACTTTATCAAATTTAGCAAATGAAAATACTGCTGTGAAACATACACATATCATACATAAGATAAATATAAATGATTGATGGTTATTATTACTTTTAGTAGACTTCTACAACATATAATTATACTGTTATTTAATAATTAGTAAACAAGCTCAGTCAATATGAAATTGATGTGTGCAATAATTTTTCACCCAGAGCAGTTTTCTTGACAGTACTTATAGCACTACTAAATATTTATCCTCAAGGTACAAACAGCACAAACAAATTTGTCCAGTTTCATCTTGTTGGATGAAATCAGTTCCTTATCATTGTGAATTTTGTGGTAACTGTTAAAAAATATTATTTTAAAGGTAAGTGAAGCACATTAAAACAGACCATACAACTGCAAATGCTGCGCAACATCATCATCATCATCATCAGGTGCCTTGACGACTGGCGTGGGCGATCATGCCTTTCCATAATCTGCGATCTCCTGCAGCATGTATCAGTTCGTGTGCCGACACACCTCCATGCCATGCAACAAGACTGTCAAGCATCTTCTCTCGTTGTCTTCCTCTATCCCTCCTTCCACAGATCTTTCCAGTGGTCACAACATTTTTTATTTTCCCTCTTCTCATAACATGGCCGAAAAATGATGGCTGTCTCCTTCTGCTGTCTGTGATACGTTGTCTTCGGGCTTCCGCCTCTTTCAAAACCTCTTGGTTGCTCTTTTTGGCTGTCCACGGTATTCTAAGCATTCTTCTGTAAAACTACATCTCTGAGGCCTCTAAAAATTGTTTGGCCTGCCAACCGATTGTCCAGGATTCACAGCCACATGTTAAAACTGGATGTATGTAGCAAGCAAGAATTCTTTTTTTACTCTCAATGACAAGGATATATTGCACAAGATGTTTTTAATTTTATAAAATGCAGATTTTGCCTGTCCAATTCTGTTTCTTATTTCAGTTATGTATCTTCCATCTGATGTTATCCATGTGCCCAGGTACTTAAATGTCTGTACTTGTCCTAAAATAACACCATTGACTTTTATTACACATTTAGGAATAATTTGTTTCTTTGATACCACCATTACTTCTGTCTTTCCATTATTCAAACTGAGGCCCATTCTTCCACTTTCTAACACCACAATGTCTATCATTTCCTGTAATTCTTTATGACTTATTGCTATCAAGACTGTGTCATCAGGATAACGTAAATTGTTTATATTGTGCCCACCAACCACAATTCCGGGCATATAAATTAAAGATCTCATTATATATTCACTGTATATTGAAAACAAATCAGGTGAAAGTACACATCCTTGTACACCTCTCTGTATGCTTTGAAATGTACCTAAACAGCTGTTTATTCTTATAGCTGCTGTTTGCTGCCAATACATATTCTTTATTATTCGTAGATCTTTCCCATCAATGTTTAATTTTTCTAACAGTTTGATTACTTCTTCATGCTTCACACAGTCAAATCAGTCTTTACTTATAGTTCTTTCTGACAATGTCCTTAGGATGTTTATGGCATTGTTTGTACCTTTTCCTTCTACAAATCCACATTGTTCATCGCTGATTTCTGGTTTAATTTTGTTTCTCAGTAAAATCTTAGTCATGTGACTCATAAGACTGATTGTGCGATAGTCTTCACATTTTAAAGTGCCTGGTTTCTTTGGCAGAGCTATAAATATGGATTTTAAAAGGTCATTTGGAATATACCCACTATTATAAATATAACGCAACATACACATATTAAACACACAAATTTCCCATATAGACACCGGGTCTCGCTGTTCAAAACAGTGCACTGGAACAAGACTAAAGCCCAGAATTAGATGAACAACCAGAAGTTTCTGCCAGAGTTTACAGCCAGTGATCGCAAAGCAGAAGACC